TGACTGGGAGGAAGAAGGGAGGGAAGGATGGAAGTGAAGGAAGCAGGGCGAGAGGAGGCAAGGAAAAGAGCTGAAGGATGCGAGAGAGAAAGGAAGATGGGAGATAAGGAAAGATGGGGGGAAAAGGGGAAGGGATATATGAGAGAGAGGCGCCATGATGGGGAAGAAAGAATGGGAAGGGGAAATGAGTGAAGGAATGAATGAAGAACGAGGCGAAGATGATGATCGAGGCTAAGAGGAAGGAAGCATTACAAAAGGAGGAGAAACGGAAGGAGAGGAGGAGGGTAAGAGGAAGGCAAGAATGAAGAGGAAGGATGATATAAAGTTCCATTGGTGACAGTGATAAGGGAAGATGCTAGGGGAGAGAGAGAGAGAGAGAGAGAGAGGAGAGAGAGAGATGAGAGAGAGAGGAGAGGAGAGAGAGAGAGAGAGAGAGAGAGACAGACAGACACAGACAGAGAGAGAGAGATTATCTGCTGCTAAGAACACTTGAATAATGTAACATAAACGTAATAAATAAAGAGTGAATGATAGACTGCTACAAGTAGAAGAGCTAGAGAATAGGAAGTAAGATTAACAACGCGGATTACAAAAATGTAAATAACACAATATCATACAAGTAACGGAGGAGGGAATAACCTCAATAACACCATAATAAGGAAAGGATGGAACAGCATCAGTAACAGAAGAACGACACATCAACACACACATCATCACTGGATGATCAACACCTTCCAGGGTCGTTCACGGTTAGGATTTCGAGCCAAGAGCTACAGTTCGACCCTGGCCAAAAACCCAAATAGGTAAGTACACGCCATTCTCTGGTTAAAGAAAAAGACGAGTCTGCCAAGTTAAAGATAATAGATAAGACTAAGGATACAGGAAGGGAGAAGAATCAGAGATGACGAAGTGGACGATCACAAGATACATGACACAGGGAAGATCTTGCCGTATCTCCAATATGGGAGAGAGAGGAAGAGGCATTTGGGTGAAGGATGGTTAGTGAGGTGTGAGTAAATACACACACACACACAATACATATATAATATATAAATTATATATATATATATTATTATATAATATATATATATATATATATATATATATATTTTCAACAAGTCGGCCGTCTCCCACCGAGGCAGGGTGACCCAAAAAAGAAAGAAAATCCCCAAAAAGAAAATACTTTCATCATTCAACACTTTCACCACACTCACACATTATCACTGTTTTTTTCAGAGGTGCTCAGAATACAACAGTTTAGAAGCATATACGTATAAAGATATACAACATATCCCTCCAAACTGCCAATATCCCAAACCGCTCCTTTAAAGTGCAGGCATTGTACTTCCCATTTCCAGGACTCGAGTCCGACTATATGAAAATAACCGGTTTCCCTGAATCCCTTCACTAAATATTACCCTGCTCACACTCCAACAGATCGTCAGGTCCCAAGTATCATTCGTCTCCATTCACTCCTATCTAACACGCTCATGCACGCTTGCTGGAAGTCCAAGCCCCTCGCCCACAAAACCTCCTTTACCCCCTCTTTTCAACCCTTTCGAGGACGACCCCTACCCCTCCTTCCTTCCCCTATAGATTTATATGTTTTCCATGTCATTCTACTTTGATCCATTCTCTCTAAATGACCAAACCACCTCAACAAACCCCTCTTCTGCCCTCTGACTAATGCTTTTATTAACTCCACACCTTCTCCTAATTTCCACACTCCTAATTTTCTGCATAATATTTACACCACACATTGCCCTTAGACAGGACATCTCCACTGCCTCCAACCGTCTCCTCGCTGCTGCTTTACCACCCAAGCTTCACATCCATATAAGAGTGTTGGTACTACTATACTTTCATACATTCCCTTCTTTGCCTCCATAGATAACGTTTTTTTGACTCCACATATACCTCAACGCACCACTCACCTTTTTCCCTCATCAATTCTATGATTAACCTCATCCTTCATAAATCCATCCGCCGACACGTCAACTCCCAAGTATCTGAAAACATTCACTTCTCCATACTCCTCCCCAATTTGATATTCAATTTTTCTTTAAACTAAATCATTTGATACCCTCATCACCTTACTCTTTTTCTATGTTCACTTTCAACTTTCTACCTTTACATACTTCTCAAACTCATCCACTAACCTTTGCAATTTTTCTTTAGGGAAACTCCCATAAGCACAGTATCATCAGCAAAAAGTAACTGTGTCAATTCCCATTTTGAATTTGATTCCCCATAATTTAACCTCACCCCTCTCCCGAACACCCTAGCATTTACTTCTTTTACAACCCCATCTATAAATATATTAAACAACCATGGTGACATTACACATCCCTGTCTAAGACCTACTTTTACCGGGAAGTAGTCTCCCTCTCTTCTACACACCCTAACCTGAGCCTCACTATCCTCATAAAAACACTTAACAGCATTTAGTAACTTACCACCTATTCCATATACTTGCAACATCTGCCACATTGCTCCTCTATCCACTATCATATGCCTTTTCTAAATCCATAAATGCAATATAAACTTCCCTACCTTTATCTAAATACTGTTCACATATATGCTTCAATGTAAACACTTGATCTACACATCCCTACCCACTCTGAAACCTTGCTCATCCGCAATCCTACATTCTGTCTTACCTCTAATTCTTTCAATTATAACCCTACCGTATACTTTTTCTGGTATACTCAGTAAACTTATTCCTCTATAATTTTTACAATCTCTTTTGTCCCCTTTCCCTTTATATAAAGGGACTATACATGCTCTCCGCCAATCCCTAGGTACCTTCCCCTCTTTCATACATTTATTAAACATAAGTACCAACCACTCCAACACTATATCCCCCCCTGCTTTTAACATTTCTGTCATGATCCCATCAGTTCCAGCTGCTTTACCCCCTTTCATTCTACGTAATGTCTCACGTACCTCCACCACACTTACATTCTGTTCTTCTTCACTCCTAAAAGATGGTATACCTCCCTGGCCAGTGCATGAAATTACCGCCTCCCTTTCTTCAACATTTAAAAGTTCCTCAAAATATTCTCGCCATCTACCTAATACCTCCCTTTCCCCATCTACTAATTCCCCTACTCTGTTTTTAGCTGACAAATCCATACTTTCCCTAGGCTTTCTTAACTTGTTTAACTCACCCCAAAAATTTTTTTTCTTATTTTCATTAAAATTTCTTGACAGTGCCTCTCCCACTCTATCATCTGCTCTCCTTTTGCACTCTCTCACCACTCTCTTCACCTTTCCTTTACTCTACATATACTCTGCTCTTCTTATAACACTTCTGCTTTGTAAAAACCTCTCATAAGCTACCTTTTTCTCTTTTATCACACCCTTCACTTCATCATTCCACCAATCACTCCTCTTTCCTCCTGCCCCCACCCTCCTATAACCACAAACTTCTGCCCCACATTCTAATACTGCATTTTTTAAAACTATTCCAACCCTCTTCAACCCCCCCCCCCACTACTCATCTTTGCACTAGCCCACCTTTCTGCCAATAGTCGCATATATGTATATGTATAATATATCGCATGCTCTCGCGAATTCCTTGCATTGTTCAAATCTCTAGTAAGGCTGATGCATGCAGGGATGAGATGAAAAGCTGTAAGCCTTCTCCCTGAAAGCTGGCTGCCTTGGATCAAACGTGTAGCGCATGCTACACGCCAAGGTATTGGTCCAGGGGTGGGTAGATTAGTAAAGCACTGCGTACCTTGTCCTAAGGTTCGTAGGTTCGAGTCTCCTTCAGCCAGAGATCAGTGTTTGTGTATATTTCGCATGCTCTCGCGAATTCCTTGCATATATATATATATATATATATATATAATATATATATATATATATATATATATAATATATATATATATATATATATATATATATATAATTGTATAGCGTTCGGAATTTCACAAAAAATGTGAAATTCCAAACGCTTTCCTGATTTCTCACATTATTAAGGAATAGTAAAAACAACAGACCAGAAGACCTATAAGGCTGAGATTTTACCTTACTTATAACCTCCCACGCAACACGTCCCACCGAGCGTGGAAGTGTAATCACACGTAAACAAGAAAGGAGATTAGCTGATGTACATATATTTATCTCTGTCTGAGAATGAGATTGCAAGTTTACAAAGGCGGATAGCTAGGGGAATGAGTTGGTTTACTCCCCTATACTGAGGAACACTTGAAGGATGTTCTGACGGAGGATCAAACAAAAAATCAAGGATACCTTTAGCAAGGAGGAACACATGAAACAAACCTTAAAAGAGATGGTCAACAAAGATCAATTCCATATTTTAAGTGAATATCTCCGTGTGACACGCCACACTACAGCAGCACTCAACACCGGGCAAAACTCAACATCAAGTTACAACAACAACTGTTTGCTCAGAATTCATCTCCTGATAATGTTATTAATCTGCCCAATGTACATCTCAAGAAGTATGTGTTACTTAGTTTAACTCTGCCTCTAAACCTACTGTTAAACCACGGCTAGAATGCAAAGTAAAAGGACACAAGTGCAACTAATGTGACATTTTTATTGTGGCAACGTTTCGCTCTCCAGGAGCTCACTGTCGGTAATTTTATCAACATTATTACATGTGGTAGAATGTTTTCAAAGTTGGACAAATACTTGTTTAACTTCAATTAGAATGAAGATTTCGTCAGTTTAAAAGGACACTTTGTTAAAAGGTATAAAAAATTCGTTTTGATACTAAAAAAAAAAAAGTTTGTCTTTTAAACTCCGCACTGTTAGAACTAAACAAAAGGCAACACTATTATAATCAAACGAGATAAATGTGTCAAAGATGTCAGGAACAAAGGTCAAAAAAACAATGTGACACCGCAAGTGATCTAAAGGTCAGTATATAATAGTACCAGAATGCTTTATGAACGACGTGTCGCCCGCACTGTGTGCTATATTAACAAACATTGTGGAGAGTGAGGCGAGGTGTGATGGGCACTTACCCGAGGGTATATAGACGTTGCCTGAGGGAGTCCTCACTAGACAGGAGGGCTCAAATTCCTCGGGGTGTCCCTGCGAGCCCTGGTATTGGACCGGGGCACCTTGGTGGTACTGGATGGGTACTGCCTGGTATTGGGCGGAGGTGCCGTGAGGAGGACCAGAGTTGTGCACGCGACCGTTCAGACGTGACATGTCGTTGCGACCCCCACCCGGCCCGTCCCCGGCGCTCAGCAGGCCACCTGAAACACAACACAGGGCGTTACCTCACTCACTCCAGGGAACACAACACAGGGCGTTATCTCACTCACTCCAGGGAACACAACACAGGGCGTTATCTCACTCACTCCAGGGAACACAACACAGGGTGTTATCTCACTCCAGGGAACACAACACAGGGCGTTACCTCACTCACTCCAGGGAACACAACACAGGGCGTTATCTCACTCACTCCAGGGAACACAACACAGGCGTTATCTTACTCACTCCAGGGAACACAACACAGGGCGTTACCTCACTCACTCCAGGGAACACAACACAGGGCGTTATCTTACTCACTCCAGGGAACACAACACAGGGCGTTATCTCACTCACTCCAGGGAACACAACACAGGGCGTTATCTTACTCACTCCAGGGAACACAACACAGGGCGTTACCTCACTCACTCCAGGGAACACAACACAGGGCGTTATCTCACTCACTCCAGGGAACACAACACAGGGCGTTATCTCACTCACTCCAGGGAACACAACACAGGGCGTTATCTCACTCACTCCAGGGAACACAACACAGGGCGTTACTCACTCACTCCAGGGAACACAACACAGGGCGTTATCTCACTCACTCCAAGGAACACAACACAGGGCGTTATCTCACTCACTCCAGGGAACACAACACAGGGCGTTATCTCACTCACTCCAAGGAACACAACACAGGGCGTTATCTCACTCACTCCAGGGAACACAACACAGGGCGTTATCTCACTCCAGGGAACACAACACAGGGCGTTATCTCACTCACTCCAAGGAACACAACACAGGGCGTTATCTCACTCACTCCAGGGAACACAACACAGGGCGTTATCTCACTCACTCCAGGGAACACAACACAGGGCGTTATCTCACTCACTCCAAGGAACACAACACAGGGCGTTATCTTACTCCAGGGAACACAACACAGGGCGTTATCTTACTCACTCCAGGGAACACAACACAGGGCGTTATCTTACTCCAGGGAACACAACACAGGGCGTTATCTCACTCACTCCAAGGAACACAACACAGGGCGTTATCTCACTCACTCCAGGGAACACAACACAGGGCGTTATCTCACTCACTCCAAGGAACACAACACAGGGCGTTATCTCACTCACTCCGGGAACACAACACAGGGTGTTATCTCACTCACTCCAGGGAACACAACACAGGGCGTTATCTCACTCACTCCAGGGAACACAACACAGGGCGTTATCTCACTCACTCCAAGGAACACAACACAGGGTGTTATCTCACTCACTCCAGGGAACACAACACAGGGCGTTATCTCACTCACTCCAGGGAACACAACACAGGGCGTTATCTCACTCACCCAAGGAACACAACACAGGGCGTTATCTCACTCACTCCAGGGAACACAACACAGGGTGTTATCTCACTCCACTCCAAGGAACACAACACAGGGCGTTATTCACTCACTCCAGGGAACACAACACAGGGCGTTATCTTACTCACTCCAGGGAACACAACACAGGGCGTTATCTCACTCACTCCAAGGAACACAACACAGGGCGTTATCTCACTCACTCCAAGGAACACAACACAGGGTGTTATCTCACTCACTCCAAGGAACACAACACAGGGCGTTATCTCACTCACTCCAAGGAACACAACACAGGGCGTTATCTCACTCACTCCAGGGAACACAACACAGGGCGTTATCTCACTCACTCCAAGGAACACAACACAGGGCGTTATCTCACTCACTCCAAGGAACACAACACAGGGCGTTATCTCACTCACTCCAAGGAACACAACACAGGGCGTTATCTCACTCACTCCAGGGAACACAACACAGGGCGTTATCTTACTCCAGGGAACACAACACAGGGCGTTATCTCACTCACTCCAGGGAACACAACACAGGGTGTTATCTCACCCACTCCAGGGAACACAACACAGGGCGTTATCTCACTCACTCCAAGGAACACAACACAGGGCGTTATCTCACTCACTCCAAGGAACACAACACAGGGCGTTATCTCACTCACTCCAGGGAACACAACACAGGGTGTTATCTCACTCACTCCAGGGAACACAACACAGGGCGTTATCTCACTCACTCCAGGGAACACAACACAGGGTGTTATCTCACTCACTCCAAGGAACACAACACAGGGCGTTATCTCACTCACTCCAGGGAACACAACACAGGGTGTTATCTCACTCACTCCAAGGAACACAACACAGGGCGTTATCTCACTCACTCCAGGGAACACAACACAGGGTGTTATCTCACTCACTCCAAGGAACACAACACAGGGCGTTATCTCACTCACTCCAGGGAACACAACACAGGGCGTTATCTCACTCCAGGGAACACAACACAGGGCGTTATCTCACTCACTCCAGGGAACACAAGGCGTTACTTCACTTACTCCACTCTAATAGATAAAACTTGTATATCTTTACTGCCAAAATGTACCTCCCCACTTTTTCCGCTCTTCTGTATTTAAATCACCTCTATTTAAATACAGTAGTCTGCTGTGCAGGAGAGACATGTCAGCAATAAAGATACCCAACTGTTTCACAAGTGTCTGAACAACTTGTTGGTAATTCAAAAAACATTGTTCAGTTAATAAAACGTTCAAATCACTATCAAAATATCATCCTGTCGTATATACTAAAATAACACGTTGCAGAACGAGCTTTATCAAGGTATAGGTAAGGAGTAAGAAGGGTTGGGTTCAAGGCGGCCTTGCCTAGCATGACATGAGGCCTACTGCAGTGCTCACTTCTTATGTTCTCGTAATTGGTAAGGAGCCGGGCAGTGATTAGTGAACCTCCACCACTCTAACGCTGAATGTAACACACGTGTTTAACACTTAGCTAAGTACATTACGAGTGAACAACAGGAACGCTGGTCCCCAAAAATAGCTAGTCCAGAGACCTGTCTCTTTCCTTCACAATTAACTCGGGTTTATAACAGATGAGCAGCTTTCAGAGCTCCTAACATAGTGTAAGACACTACACCCTGTCTGATCACGGTCTGAGCCGCGCGGGCGTTGACCCTCGGCCCCCCTCCAGGTATACTACAGGTACACTAACACCACAAGCAAAACAGAGCGCTAACCAAGTAACTCTACGGGAAACACTTACAATATTACAATGTCCTTCATAATGTGCAAAAACTATACGGTAAGCACAACTCATGTTTAAATAACGTCGATGTGTAGAACTCCGCGGTAAATACAACCCACGTTTCACTACATATATTCTCATCTGGTTACCTTAAGACAGTGGTTCCCAAACTGGGGGTAAATTACCCCCTGGGGGTAATTTAACCATTTTTGGGGGGTAATGGAGGGGTGACAGAAAAAAAAGTTATGAATTCTGAAAATCAAGAAAACAATGCGGTACCCGGTATGAGGATTATTAACTTTGTCTTAGTATATAAAGTTGTAAAGTAAACCTATTATAAGTAAGTAATAAAGTTAAACCAAATAACAATAAACATCAAAAACTAATATACAGTATTAGAAAAGAAGAAATATATAGCTAAGTGTGTGGAAACCCAAAAGTATTTTGACAAGTATGCTTCAGGACAAAAGTCACTCAGTAGCCCAGATCGACCTGTCCAGTATGCGTCACTCACTTCCTGAGGCTGCCTCTATTTCACACTGTCAGTTTATCTGTGAGCATCAGCCGAGGTAGACATAAGCTGGTATGTATGTGTACTGCCCTGTGCAGTATATAGTTAGTATTTACCCACTGTTACTGTGAATTTGTAGCTATTATTAATTTTATATATAATGTATGTGTGGTTCTTACGTTTTCAATGGTTTTGCTAGGATTAGCAGAGATTGCGAGGCTGTATACGTTCACATTTAGCCATATATATCAATAATAACAACATTTTGTGAAAGGGGTAACATGCTTTATGTGGCATGTTAAATTGGGTAACAAGCTGAAAAAGTTTGGGAACCACTGCCTTAAGACAATTTCTGGGGCCACCGCCACAGTGGTTCAATCCAAGGCAGGATCTCATAGCTGATGGCCTGATCAACTAGGCTGTTGGTGCTACCGTACCCAGAACGTAAGCACTACAGCCCACATGATGAGAGAGCTTAAAAATATTTTAACCCCAAATCCTAAACATCCTAATCCACGGTAATATTAATTTTAAGACAAAAATGTAATGTAGCAAATGCTATAACAGCAGAAAAAATAGCAGCAGGAAGTTTGGATGAACAGTCAGACAAATAAAACTAGTAAATTTCCATTAGATCGTCAAATAGTGGAACTGACCATATTAAAATATACCCTTGACCTTATACTGACAATTAGTACGATCGAGTTAGAAAGTTAACGTTGAGAAACAGCAAACTCAGACCACATCACTGAAATTCACACACACACACACACACACACATACATACACCAAAAATGCTGGTCACCACTGAAAACTTACGGGGACACCGACTAACTCTCTCTGTCTCTCCCTTGACACGAGTATTTCTATTTCTCGCCACTGTGATTTATGAGTGCTGAGTATGTTACAACAGTCTGCGGAACTTGCTGACGTGTTCAACCTTCTTCAACATTACAGTGGCTCGTGCATCTCAAGACTTTACCACACTGCCGGCGCCACTCTTCACCCACACCACAACCAAAACCTCCACTTCATATATACTAATTTTACTCAAGAATGAACAAGAGATCTTCAAAACAGTAGTAGCAACGGTAACAGAGTCAACAGTCACAGGTCATAGTTCTACATTTTTATAAGATAGCTGGTATTTTTTCTTTGTCTAAAGCACCTAGGATGATTGGCACATCTTGTTATTATTATTTATACAACTGGTTACGCATGTGTATACACTACACAGATAACACGCACATAAGAGAGACGTTTCGGTCCGAGTTGTACCATTTACAAGACACACTAGCACACAAGAGTGTGGGAGCCAGTATATAAACAAATAGCTCCCTCACTCTCGTATGTTAGTGTGACCATGTGCGTGTT